TCATATATATATATATACATATAATATATATATATATATATATATATTATGTATATATTACATATATATATATATATTTATATATACATATATTTATATATATATATTATATATTTGTGTGTATATGTTTGCAGGTATTTCCGTTCTTGGAGGGTCAGTTTGTGTCTCGTTTTATTTCTTCAGCTGATTTAATTGAGTGTCTCCTCGCGAGCTGCAACATACCTTTTTATCTGTCTCCTTGGCCGACTATTACATGCAGAGGCAGACAGGCTGTCGACGGCTTCTTCGCAACAAAACATAAACAATTTGGCTGTCCAGACACTGGAGCATTCAGAGATGTTAAGGTGCTTCGCTTACTCTTGCTCCTCCTGCTGCTCCTCCTGCTGCTCCTCCTGCTGCTCCTCCTGCTGCTGCTGATGCTGCTCCTGCTGCTGCTGCTGTTGCTGCTCTTGCTGATGATGCTGCTGCTGCTCTTGCTGCTGATGCTGATCCTGCTGCTGCTGATGATGATGATGTTGATGATGCTGGCGCTGCTGCTGGGTCTCCTTATGCTGCTGCTGCTGTTCCTAAGGATGATGATGCTGATGCTGCTGCTGCTAAGGCTGCTGCTGTGACCCATGTTGCTGCTGTTGCTGCTGGTGCTGCTGCTGCAGTGTGTAGGGCTTTGGTGTTGCTGCTATTTGCTGCAGGTTGTGCCTTTTTCTGCTGCTACTGTTCGTGTCTCCGCAAGACCAGGCTGCTGCATCAGCCCTGATCTGCAGCAGCAAGATGCAGCAATTTTATCTTTCCTCAGGGCCAAGCACAGGCTACGAGTTCGAGCAGCAGCAGCAGCAGCAGCTGCTGCTGCTGCTGCTGCTGGAGCGGGGGATGCTGCCGCTGCTGGACCGGAGGGACCACGCGAAGAAGCGCCTTGCACCTGCACAGCTGTGGCTGCTGCCGCTGCTGCAGCTGCTGCAGCTGCTGCTGCTGCTCCTTCTAGTTCCCCTTCGGCTGGTCCTCAGCAGCAGCTCAAAACAGCAGCATCTGCTGCAAGCAGCAGCAGTAGCAGCAGCAGCAGGACAGCAGGAGCGTGGCTTTTGCTGCGGCCGTCGGCGGCAGCAGCGCGTAACCAGAGGCAGCAGCAGCAAGCGGCAGCAGCAGCAGCAGCAGCTGCTGCTGCTGCTTCCTGTCCCCGTTGCTGCCCCTTAGGTTTGGTTTGCCCTCCGCAGCAGCTAAGTTATTATTACTGCACACCAGGAGACGCAAGCTCTCTCTCCGGTACTGTGGCTGTTGCTGGTCGCTCCTGTCTCCCTGGCCTCTGCAGCAGCAGCAGCAGCAGCAGCAATAGCGGCAGCAGCGGCTGCTGCTGCGGCTGCGCGAGTTTGCTGCAGCTTAAGAGCAGCACACAGGAGCTGCTGCAGATGGCTTTGGAGCCCGCAGCACCGAAAGAGATGGAGGAACTCTTCGACCTAGGAAGGGCCGACGCTTTCAGGTGCTGCTGCTGCTGCTGCTGCTCTTGCTGTTGCTGTTGCTGCTGCTGCTGTTGATGCTGCTGCTGGTGTTGCCGCTGCTGGTGTCGCAGCTGCTGCTGCTGTTGCTGCTGCTGCTGTTGCTGCTCCTGGTCTTGCTGTTACTGTGCCTCCAGCTGCTGTTGCTGCTGCTGCTGTTTTAGGAATTGGTTGCTGTTGTTGCTGCTGCTTCTGCTGCAGGTGGGTGGTTCTGGAGTACATGCGCTGCGAGGAGACGCTGTACAAGCGGGCAGGTGCTGCTGCTGTTGCTGCTGCTGCTGCTGCTGCAGCAGGGAGCGAGCCTGCCTCTCCGCGCTCACGTGCTGCTAGCGCAGCCGAGCCAGCAGCAGCAGCCAATGCAGCAGCAGCAGCAGCAGCAGCAACCAAAGCAGCGCCAGCAGCACCAGAGGAATCTGCAGCAACAGCAGCAGCAGCAGACACAGTGGTGGCGACGGAAGCAGCGGCAGAGACAATCCGCAGCAGCAAAGGCGAACGAGCCGGTGCTGCAGCATCCCCCAGCCGATGTGCCAGCAGCAGAACGCAACAGGAGCCGCAGCAGCAACAGCAGCAGCAGCAGCAACAGCCGGACCATGGACACCAAGAGGATCAGACACAGCAAGAACCAGCACACGAGCAGCAACGGGAGCAGCAGCTGCAGCATAAGGAGCAGCAGCAGCAACAGAAGCAGCAGCAGCAGCAGCAGCAGCAGCAGCAGCAGCAGGCGCCACATGGGGTGTATATGGAGCAGTTTCTAAGGCGTGTCGACCTCGGTGTGGAGTTCTGCCACATCTATAGTCATGCGCATCACTGGCAGCAGCAGCAGCAGCAGCAGCAGCAGCAGCAGCAGCAGCAGCAGCAGGAATGTAAGCAGAAGCACCAGGAGCCACTGGCGCAGCAGCAGCAGCAGCAGGAGGAGCAACAGCAGCGGCAGGAGGAACGCGAGCAGATGCACCAGGTGGCACAGGCGCAGCAGCAGCAGCAGCAGCAGCAGCAGCAACAGCAGCAGGAAAGCCAAGAGCTACAGCAGCGGGCTCCAGACGAACCCCAGCAGCAGCTGCAGCAGCAGCACCTGCAGCAGCAGCTGCAGCAACACGCAGTGCCGGAGTCAGGTCGACAGCAGCACAGGGAGGGACAGCAGCAGCAACAGCAGCACCAGATTGAGCAGCAGCGAGTAGGGCATCATGAAGGGAACCGTATACAGCAGCAGCAGCAGCAGGATAGCCAACAGTTACAGCATCAGCAGCAGCAGCAGCATCAGCATGAGCAGCAGCAGCATCAGCAGCAGCAGCAGCATGAGCAGCAGCAGCAAAAGAGAGACGGCGACAGTGAGGAGGTTATTTCTGGTGGGGCTGCTCGAAAGGCTGTTTGCGTTGAGGCTCTGCCTGGCTTTGCATCTATGAGCTGAAGCAGCAGCAGCAGCAGCAGCAGCAGCAGCAGCGGCAGCAGCAACAGCGGCTTTGTTGCTGCGGACCCTGCCAGGGAGGGATGCTCTTTTGGCTTGACGAGTTCTACTTCGCCCCGTGACAGCAGCAGCAGCAGCAGCTGCAGCAGCACCAGCAGCAGCAACAGCAGCTGCAGCAGCAGCTTGCCTATGGCTGTTGCTCCTGATGGTGCTACTGCTATTCATATGTGTTGTGTAGCTCTTTTGCAGCAGCAGCAGCGATATCTGTTTTATTACTTGAGGGCTGCTGCTGCTGCTCTGTCTCTGCCCTCAGTCTTGTCTAGTTAGTTGTTTGGTGTGCTGCAGCAAACGCAGCAGCAACTGCTGCAGCAAGTGCTGCTGCAGGAAACCGTGGGATGAACGGTGACAGCGGTGATTGTGTCTGCTAAAACTGCTGCTGCTGCTGCAGGATCTGTCGCAGCTGCTGTAGCAGGAGCTGCAGCAGCTGCTGCAGCAGGACCTGCAGCAGCTGCTGCAGCAGGATATGCAGCAGCTGCTGTAGCAACGGGCGCAGCTTGATTTGTCGCTAAGAAAAGACAGACTCATTGCAGTTATGCATTATCAATGGCTCTATCTACGCTGCTGCTGTTGCTGCTGCTGTTGCTGCTGCTGGGACTGCTGCTGCTGATGTTGCTGATGCTGCTGTTGCTTGGTTTCTCAGTTGTTGCAGCAGCAGCAGTAGCAGCATCCCAAGGGGTTGGCTGTTCCTCTTTTGCTGCAGCTCCTGCGTCGTCTTCACCCGTCGCTGCTTCTGCTGCGGGTTTTGCTGTTACTGCTGCCACTGCTGCTCCCGCTGCTCGTTGCTGCACTTGCTGCTGCTTGTGTTGCTGCTGCTTTTGCTGCTACTACAATCTATGGGTCTACAGCTTCGGCGCTGGATGAGGCTGTTTGGGTATCATCGTTCGTTGCTGCTTCTGAGTCTTCCGCTGCTGCTGCTGCTTCTGCTGCTGGGTCATCTGCTGCTGTTGCTGCTGGATCGTCTGCTGCTGCTGCTGCTGCTTCATCCGAGTGGTCTGCTGCTTTCTCTCCAGCAGCAGCAGCAGCAGCAGCAGCAGCTTCATCATTTGCCTTTTCTTCTTCTGCTTCTGCTTCGCTCTGTTCGTGTTGCTGCTGCTGCTGCTGCTCGTCGTTCTCTTGGGTCTGAGGTGTCTCTTCTGTAGTCGCGGCTTCTGCTTCTGCTGCTGCTTCTGCTGCTGCTTCTGCTGCTGCTGCTTGTTCTTCCTTTGGGATCTGCAAAGCGGCAGCAATATCGTTACTGTGCGGTTGCTGCAGTGTGCATTCCCTACGTTATTATGCTGCTCTTCTGCTGCAGCAGCACCTGCTGCTGCTGCTGCACTTGCTGCTACTGCTGCTGCTGCTGGTGCTCGCTTACAGCTGCTGCTGCTTCTACAAGTGCCTTCGTGGCGGCGCAGCAAAAAGAGAAAACCTTAGGGAGAGATTCTTCAGCCTGCAGCGTCGGCAAGAAAGGAAGCTGCAGCAGCAGCAGCAGCAGCAACAGCAGCAGCAGCGGCAACAGCAGCAGCAGCACCAACAGTGACAGAAACTCGTCCTGCTGCTGCCCCTTGCTTCTGCGGCAGCAAGAACGCCGGCAACAGCAGCACCGGCAGCACCAACAACAGCAGCAACAGCAACACCACCAGGACCAGCAGCAACAGCGACAGAAGCAGTAGCAGCTGCAGCACCAAGAACAGCAACGGCAGCAGCAGCAACAACAAAAACAACACCAGCAGCAACCGCAGAGCCGGCAACAGCAGCAATAGCAGCAGCAACAACAGAAATGACAGCAACAGCAGCAACGACAGCAGTAACAGCAGCAGCAACAGCAGCAGCAGCAGCAGCAAATGTTTATGTCTCTCACTTCTTGCTGCGCAGCTGATAGCTTCCTTGTAAGGAAGCCAACGCCTGCATGCAGTTCAGAGAGCAGCTGCTGCGTCCGCTGATGCTTCTGCTGCTCCTGCTGCAGCTGCTGCTTTGCTGCAGCAGCTTGAGCTTCTGCTGCTTCAGCAGGCAGGTCTCCTCGCACCACCCCGGAGCAAACAGAGGCAAACCTTCGCTCTTCAAGCTGCAGCAGC